GGGGGGGGGGGGGGCTGTTTCACTCACCACGCAGACCTCGGCCTGCTTGCAGGAGCAGGTGGGGCTGATCAGCTGCTCGAGCAGGGAACGCAGCTTCTCGTCTTCTCCCAGCACCTGGTTGAACTTCTTCATGAAGTCCTGGGCCTTGCCAGGATCCGGAAGGTTCTCTGAGGGGGAGAAAGAGCCCGGTAAGCCAAGACGCGTCCAGCGAACCAGAAAATTCAAACACTGCTCCGTGCTACAGGTGCTGTTGGAATGACTAGTGAATTAGCACCAGACGACACTTACTGGTTATGGTGAGTAGCTTCCCGAACATGGCGGCAGTGTTGGCTTCAGACTGCAATGGTTAGGACAATGAGTCAGGTGTGTTCCTGGGAGATGCCCAGCAGAGGGCAGCATAGAGCGGCAGTTTCTCACCAGCGGCAGCTTGTGCAGGTCCAGCAGTTCCCTCACTACGCTCCTCAGCATGTTCTGACACTTCCACATCTCGTTCAGTGCCCTGGAGCAAACACAAGACGGTCACACGATGCCCTAGTCGGGGCTCGGCGAGGCGCGGGCAGCCAGAGTTGGACTCACTTCACGGCGTTGGGGTCCAGGCAGGCATACAAGTAGTACAGACACTTCATCTTCTCCTCCGTCTCCAGGCTGTGAGGCACCATGTACTGTGCAAAGATCTTCTCTACCAGAAGCCTGATAAACACAGTTCAGGACACTTTAGATTGACACACGACGCCGGTTAACCTGACTGGAAGCATCCATCACTGTGGCTAAAAGCTGGACTAACACCATACACAGACACCGAGAAAAGCAGAGAACTGGACTAATAGAATCCTCTAACCTGGGGGGGGGGGGTGTCACTGTATCCGGTTTCTCAGAATTGCGTACAGACATATATTTCATACTTTTTCAAATGAGGAACTCAGAAAACCTGACCACGGCCTTTTCCCACATGTGCAACTGACATTTATTGTAGTGTAATGGTGCTGTGACCCTGTAGGGGGCACTGTGGGGCCTCACTTGTCATCAATGCTGTTTTGATAGTAGATGTGCAGGAGCTTGTCCTTGATCCAGCTGATCTTCTGGGCACTCTCCTTGCCAGCCTCGTGGTGCAGACAGTACTTCTTAAACAGCTGGGCCAGGCCCATCATGGCCTCCTTGCGCACACGCCACTGCGAGCAGACGGGGCAAGGTCAGGATCACAGCAGCGAGCAGGCGTCACATGCAACGTGATTGGCCGAGGAGAGAAACACCCACCCTCTTGTCCAGTGTCCGCTCGCGTACGAATCCCAACAGTTGGTCGTTCACTAGGTTCAAGTCCTTCTTCCCCGCGTTGATGATAGTCACTATGACATCATGACGGATGGCTTCCTCAGGGTCATGTGACCGGACCTTCAGGTAATCTGTGACAAGCACAGTGTCAGGATACGTTATGGTTCAGCCGTGTCCCGACCAATTTCACCTTAGAATCTCTTTGCAACATGATTTTGGCATTTTAGGCATATAATACCCAACGCCACACCACCTGTAAGATCTTTGGCCAAGTCAGGGTGGTTCATCAAACAGTGACTGGCAAACTTCACGCACTCCAGTCTGACAGGAACGTGGATATCATTAAACCTTGAGAGAGAAAAAAAAACAAAAAACACACAAACTTCAAAATGGCTTCCCAATACAACAAAATGTTTGGGATTTTTGATAGAAACAGCAGTCATTTTACTTCTGAAATCTGAAGCTTTTCTCCCCTATTTCTGTACTGAAAGGTCATGACAGCACTGACAATAGAACAGATAAAGAACAATGCCCCTCCAAGACACTTAGTCGCACCTTCCCAGGAAGCACTGCCAGAGTGGTCGGTTCTGGTTGGCCAGCTCGGAGTCTCGGGCCCCAAACAGCTTAGCCAGCAGCCGCACCACTGCTAGCCGCTCCTCGCCGTCGTTGCTCTGAACAGGAATGGGACACCGAGGGACAGCATGAGGACATCAGCAAATATAAGAGGATACAGTACTAAGCAAGTAACAAGCAGGTTCATACTTGCTTTTAAATGCACACATGCGCCATCCTTTCCCCAAAAGCTCCTGTCATTCTGCCTATGCTGTTTCACACAAAACCGACATTTACGTCGCTCCTACCCAAAGCGAAACACACTTTTCTGGGAAGGAAAAAACCATGGTCAAACAATCCCCTGAGGCAACTGGAGGTCAAGGGTCTTGCACGAGCCCAACTGTGAAATCACTCTACCGACCATGGGATCTGACCCGATGACCTTCCGATCACACGCACACCCTGCTGAGCCACCCTACTAAAATAGTGTGTCCTTCCTGGAGCTCCCAAGACACAGCCATTTCTCACCCCTCAAAGGATACCTCTACTCAGGAGCACTAGGACTCCGTACCCAACTAGTCAATGTATGAGCAGAACCAGCTTCAGCAAGCCTACACTCATTGTTGGCTCCATAGATCTGTAATGAGTCTCTCGTACGACAAATGCATGTTCACTCCCAAAAGACAAGCTCATCTTCCTCATCGGTCAATCAGGATCCGACTTCTGGCCAAAAACTCAAACGGCAGGATCACCTTAAGCTTGAACTCCAGCTGAGGCATGACGGACAACAGGAGGAGGGGGTCCGTGGCGAACAGCTCCTGGATCAGGTCAAAGACGTGCTCCGACAGATCGCTCACGGACGACTTGCCCAGGACCAGCACTTGGTTGAAGAACTGAAAAAGAGCGCATTGGTAAGGCAATGAACCCCATTCAGCTGTTCACCAGTAGCGATCAGACCAACGTGGCATGGTAAGATGCTTACATTTGCGATGCACGTTTCGATGGTTTGAACAGTCCTCTTCAGAAGTACCTTAGCGAGATCATAGGCCTGCTTGTTCAGATTCTGCAAATAAAAGACCGTCACTCAATAAAGCTTCATGTAGCATGATGAGTGCCGTGCTCTCAGAGGAAAACCTCACACCTACCTTGTGAGCAGGAATGAGGTTGATGAGGATAGTGTCCAGCAGCTCCTGGGTTACACCATCTCCCTCTGTGATGATGGAGCTCATCAAGTCCAACATATGCATCTGTACCTTCTGGTTGTGGCTGGTACTGAAGCATTGAGAGAGGAGACGCTGTCAATGCAAAGCTGGACGCTAACACAAGAACAATTGATGAACAATAACGTTATTTATGGAAGGAAGGGACAGAGACTATTGGTTGGCTATTTTATATGCGAATGCCGTTACACCTGAAAACCTGCTATTAATTACAGGTCTACAGACCTTAAGTTCATCACTGGATTTACTGATCCCTTCTTAAATATATCATTTATAGACTTTCAACAGGCTACCAGTGGTTAACTGCCAGATTAATACCACAAATGGCTAAAGTCTGCATAGCAGATGATTTCACACTGTGGTTTTACTGAAAGTTTACTACTGAACAACATGCGGCGAGAAAACTAAACGACAACATCAACCACTGCGAAAAAAAAAATCAGTGTGGTCATCGCATTCTAAACTTACTTTATGACAGAAAAGAGGGTCTTAAAGAGCTGGATGAAGATCTCGTTGCAATCCTCCAGCTCAAAGCAGATATTGTAAGATTTGACCCAGGCAAGGTTCTGCAAAGAAGAGGCAGAACGTTACAGGAGTTATCTGCCATCGCGAAGGCGGAACGTCACATTCAGAGAACATTCTCCTCCAGCTTCACTTTTCCAGAGGCCATTTTCACTTTGTTTGTTTTCACTGATCACCCAAGGCCTAACCCAGACTCCAGTCTATTTTTGGCACAGCTCTGATGACCAGAAGACTTCTCAGTGTAATGCGGCACTGAAAGAGGACGCGCCGTCATCAGCCATAGACTTCATTACCTGCCATCCTTTGTCAGTATAGAGTGCTTACAGAAAGTCTTGGAATACTTGCTTAATTCTGTGAAAATGTTGCAAATTTATTGATTTAATAAGTCTACTGACAAGCAACGTCTAACATATCTCTACATACCTTCAGCACAGACAAACTCTTATATAAGAATCATTTTTATCACAGACTCATTTAGTTCTGTTCTTGCCATTTTGCTATTAATTGTAACTATAGTCATTAGCTCCCAAAGGGATACCAAACACAAATGTTTTATGTTATTGCAAAGGTGTTACTAATTAAAAAGCACGCAATGAGACTGGTTAATGAACTAAACTCAGAACAGCTCTTTTAGAACTATAATTTGGGTTTCAATTTATTACTACTTGAATGTTCTACTTAAAACTACTGGTTGTTTCCAACATGATTTTTTGTCAACAAAATAATGTAATGAAATTTATTATAAAACCAATAAACCTGCAATATTTTTACCAAATTAAGGAAGCGTCTGAAGACTTTGTCAGCACTGTATGTGCAACATGCCTGAGGGGGGGAAAAAAAGCATTTTGCTAAAAACATTCCAATGAATAAATGACACCACTCACCTCCAGCAGGTAGAAGTATCTGTTGAACTGAGGACTTTTAGTGTCCTCCAAACCTTTCAGCTGTCTGGTGATGAATAGGAAAATGTCCTGCGGGAAAATGAATAGTAAATACGGGGGGGGGGGGGGG